ACCTACATACATACACACAAATATATGCATATAAAACCTGGTTTTTGCACTTAAGTATTTTTAGATTTACACAATGTTTTCATGCTTAGCGTATCATTCTTTGCCTAGCTATTTTTGTTTTAGTTTTGTCTGTTTTTGCTTAATTTTTTAGCTTTAGATTTACCTGTGTAGAAACATGTTGATATTTATGTATTTTTATTGGATTCCATTGTGTGATTATATCCATATTTATTTATTTCCAATTGATAAAGATTTAGGTTTGCTACCACTTTTGCAATATTAAAAATAACACTGTAATGAACGCTTTTAGACTGCATTAAGGTATCACTAAGATATATTCCTGGTGGTGGAAGTTCTGCATCGAAGTGCATGTACATCTGATATTACCAGATATGTTCAAAGTGCTTTATAAAGTGTTTATATATATTCATATGCCTATAGAAAGTGTTTGAGAGTTTTAACCAATATTTGGCATAAAATTTTGCATCTTTTTATGAGTTAGAAATGCTGTTTTGTATTAATACAATTGCAAATGCATTAAGTTGCAATTTCTTATTTAGAATACATCTTTGGCTTTTTTCTTTTTTATTTGTTTATAGAAAGGTTTTTTGTTTTTGTAAATTTTTCATACTACTTCTTTGGTGGATAAACTTGCTTAAAATATGTTTTCCTGTTTTATGGTTTGACTTTTCATAATATCAATGGTGTATTTTTTATTTAAAATGTTAAATTTAATGTAGTTATTTACATTAATCTTTTCCTTTATAGTTCATATTTAATTAATTTCCTACATCAAAATCATAAAGGTATTCTCCCATATGGTTTTAAAAAATCCTGATAATTTGGTTTTCATATTTTACTTATATTTTCACCTTTTTTGTACATGTAATGATATAAAAATATACGTTTCCCTCCTTATGGATAATAAATTTTCTCACATAATTTATTGAATAGCTCATTTTTTCCCCACTTTTCCTAAAATGGAGGTCTATTTCTCTCCTTTGTATTTGCTTAAGCCATTTTTCACATGTTTACATGAATCTCAAAACAAGGACAAACTCTTACAATTTTTATTGTTCAAAAATAAGTCTTGATATCCCAAAGACCAGTATCCCCATATCTTCTTCTTAAAAAAATTCTTCCCAATTTTCTTGACTTGCTTTCATCCCTCATTCTTGCATTTTCATTTTACAATTGTTTTTCAATATTAATTTATGATATAAGAATTTTGATTCTATTTGACTGTATTTTTGTAATGTATTTTTTTTTTTTTACCATGTTAAGTATTCCTTACCACACACAGTGCACAATCCCACTTATCCAGGTCTTATTTTATATCTTTCAATCATATTTTATAATTTTTTCTACAAATGTTTTTTGCTTTCCCTCCCACTTTTTCCTAGATCCTTTAGAGATCTTTGCAGTTATTGTTATAGAATAATTTTTCCTATTGTGTTTCCTTGTTGTTAACTGCTGTATTTAGAAATAGTGAGAATACATGTGAACTTTTTGATCTTAACATCCTAGTTGAATACTACTATTAGGCTCCTCCTTTTTTCCTTAGAGGAGCCATCATTATAATAAATGAGTTGGGATTATCAATGGCCTTCAGAAGTAGTTTTACAAAACAAAAACAAAAATGACTTGGAAATTGTGTTGAGCCATAAAGGGGAAAGATTTTAATTAAGAGGATTAGTGTGGGAAGGAGAAACAAGTAATCTTACAGAAGAAAATGTAAACATTCTCAGGGTGGGTTCCGCTAAGGGAAGCCCCTTTTCTTCTTCTCCCTGCCCCCCAGGGGGCTGGGATCAACCCAGGGCCTTGTGCACACTAGGCAAGTGTTCTGCTACTTAATCCTCCCCTCAGACAAAGTATTAATTTCTTCAGAGAGAGAAAAAAAATTCCCAAGTGCCTCTAGAACTGATGATGTTTAAAAATTCAATTATACACTTATTTATTTTTATTATTTTAAATTTATTTCCCCACTTAGTTCCAAGACAGCTTATAAACACTATATATTCAGTGCAAGATATCTGTTTTTAAATTAGTAAAGTGTGAAAAGGGAGATTAAATTTAGAATTACACACACACACACACACATATAATGTATATAAAATTCAGGTCACCAACAACTTACATAATGATTAGAGACGTTAGAGTTATATATATATAACTCTAACGTCTCTAGTGGCCAAAACAATAGGGGAAAATAATAGGTTTTTGGATTCCTGTTGCCATTTTACAAACTATTCAGGATCTAAGACAATATTCAGAGTATTAAGGTCTGGGGAAAATGTTCTCCCACAGGTCCTCAGACATATGATACTGAGATGCAGAGAGCTTCATAATCAAAAGTATTCAAGAATAAATATGATAATATCTGATATTGTATAATAATATGGTATTGTAGTATCTCTCCATTTAATCAGAAATCATAATTTAAAAGCAGAAAAATCAGTGAAATTATCTGGCTGGGGCATGCTAAACAATAGGATACAAATATAAAATTCACAGATTATCTTCTTTAATTCAAAAATTGAATATTGGCTCTTTAGCAGATCTTGCTAATAAACTGCTGATTGTTAGTCAAAGAATTATTGGGGTTTAAAAACAACTAGAAAATATATATACCAATAAATGCTGTATAAGTTAAATGAACAAATGCAGCAAACACAAAACTAAATGCTTCTTCTATGAATTGAATTTGATTAGCAAGACTGGCAGTTTGCAACCTTCATAAATGCATTAAATGACAACTTCTAGGAGGAAAGGGACTGTGTATATTGTTATGTTCACTGTTTTATCACTATCTCTTAACATAGTACCTTGTATTTAATATATGTTCAATAAATATTTGAAGAGTAAATGAATGAGAAAATGAACCAAACAAACCTCCACACAGCATATTTTCTTCAGTTTGTTCTTTTTTCAAAGAATTGTGCAGCATCGTGATTCTGTGTTTCAGCAGGAATCTGAAACATAAATAAATCTTCTCTTTACTCATTAAAAGCAGATATATATGAATTAAAAAGAGTTACAGTTGACATCCTCTCAAAAAAAAAAAAAAAAAGAGAAAACCAGGGCTGGGATGTGGCTCAAGTGGTAGAGTGCTGGCCTGGCATGCTCCCGGCACTGGGTTTGATCCTCAGCACCACATAAAAATAAAATAAAGATGTTGTGTCCACTGAAAACTAAAAACTAGATATTAAAAAACTCTCTCTCTTTTAAAAAAAATGAGAAAACTAATTAAGACTTAGCATTATTTCCCAGAAGAAATGCCCCAGTGCTTAAGGTTTGTGTGAAATTCAAATAAAAACAATTAATATTTTATGTTTGTACAGTTCTTTAGGAATCTTCTATATGTCCCTAACTCCTTTCATATGACCCTTCCAACTATTGGATGTCTCCAGTGTACTTGTGAAAGCTTGTAACACATGTTATATATCACTTCTCTTCATGCTAAGCACTATCTGACTGTAGTTCCTCATGCCTGAGGCATTGTAATAACCCCTTTTCCTGCTTGGTTTCCTTGTCTAGTTCCTGTCCTTGGAGTCTGTGCTTCATAGCACAGAGTAGTTAGGTACACTGAGACTAGGTTGAAATGGAGATTCTGCCCTTTATTAGTTGTTGGATATTAAATTACTAGTTTCACTGCCCTAAATTAGACTTTTTTACCTTATCTTTTAAATGTGGGAAAATACATATCTCATATTCAGATTGTTATAAGATAAATGAGATAAACCTATGTACTGTGACCAAGATTTGCTAAATAACAAGTGATAAATATTGGTTGCACTTATCACAATTATCATAGGAGAATATTTTGTCTAGAATCTTAGTCTAACACTGACCATCCATAGTCAAGTTTCCAATGATTTCCAGAAGCCTAAACATGGAGTATGTAACTTTCCTTAAATGACCTCAGCTTCCCTTTACAACTTCATCAGCTACCATCCTTTCTTCCTCCCCTCCTTTTATAACTGGACCTGTCATTTCTTTGTTCAGTTATACACGTAAAACAGTGATTTTCCCAATCTCTAGGACCTGGCACACCCAGTTCCCTCTTTCTGGAATGCCCTCCCCCCATGCTCTGGCAAAAAGCTTTCTCCTTCAATTTTCTCCTAGGAAATCATCTCTTCTCTGGTAGAATTATTTCTTTGGTGAGTACATAGACTATCTAAAGCTATGTTGAATTTACTCACATTTATGTCTGTCTCCTCCACTCAGTCTTTGATTTCTATTCTTTTGTAACCCTGTTAAGTCCCAGAATGTCTAGAACATAGTAAAGATTTAATATATGCTGTTTAACGAATGAACGTTCGCCAAGCCCTGTCTCCTACCACCTAACATGCGCTTAAGGTCTTTTGTCCAATTGCTTTTACTGATTTTCACTTAATTCAAACAATGCTTGCTCCGGCAGAACTCCAACTTACTTACGAGTGAACAGACATAAGACCCTCTGGATGTTTCAGGGTCCTGTTCGGGGTCACCAACACGAGTTAACATGCTGGCAATTTAAGAAAAAAAAAAGTGTTTCTTACTAGAAACTAGAAGGAAAGCGGGACTTGCCTCAGACTTGCCCTAGAAAAATGATTCCCTGCCTAGACCTGCTGCTTCATCCCTGTTCTCCCTCACCTCCCATCCTGGGAGCTACTTGGCAAGGGAGGGAGGAAAAGGGGGGAAGCGAGTTGAAAAGTTGGTCATCCTCTCTCTATCACTGCACTAAATCAGATGTGCTGCTAAGTCACCAACCAAGGAGTCTTGCTTCTTAGACTCCTCAAATACGTCCTGAGTTTCCTCTGACCCTTTTCTGCCAGTCTAGGGCTCTCCCACTCCCCTTCTCCAGCAGCCATCCCCCTCCCTTCCACAAGCCAGGAAAAAACCGATTCTAGACCCCCTTGTTCTAGGACCTCTGTGACTCTCAAGGGAAGATGCAAATCACGGACAGCCTTAGCCCAATCACTGAAAGTCGAGTTTAAAAAATCAGATTGATGGCAGGAAAGCAAGGAAGAACAGAGCTACCGCCAATGCACGAGGAAAACCACATATACACATCAAATAGAATCCCCTACTTGGAGACAGCAGGTTGCTTCCGACTACCGAAGGAACGCGGAGCACCCCAAACAGGAACTTTAAAGGGATTGTTATCTGTTGCCTGTTCCACTAGGAATATTGTTTGCAAGGCACAAGGTGTCTTTTGGTAGTGAGCACCCTCTGCGCATGCGCAGGTCCACTCGGGAATTACTGCCCAGCCGCCGACTAAGTTGCATTCCTTGAATCTTCGCAGAAAAGACAATTCTTTAATCAGAGTTAGTAATGTGGACAGTACAAAATAGAGAGAGTTTGGGGCTTCTCTCTTTCCCTGTGATGATTGCCATGGTCTGTTGTGCACACAGGTGAGCTGCCTTTGTTGAATCTTTTTCTCTCTCTGTGATAATTTCTTTTTACATGCCTGCTGAATTGTGTATCTTGTTATTTGGGGGTAGGTGTGCCTGCATCTTTTCATGTCTGCTTTCAGTTTGTGCTCATTTTGAATACGGTCTCTACTTCTTCCCTTCAGCGCCAATGAACCCAGCAACATGTCATACGTGAAAGAGACGGTGGACAGATTGCTCAAAGGATATGACATTCGCTTGCGACCGGACTTTGGAGGTAATGCTTCATTCCTTTTCAACCTGTAACCCATCCCTAGTTCACCTTTTCTGTCAAAGATAAGTGCAAAAATAAAAAATGTCATTTTCGTGAGCATGCACTATGCTTTGGACACACACACACACACACACACACACACACACACACACACACACACACGACTTCGGATCTCAGGTAGATGAATCCCCACTCTGAGCCGACCTCCCTCCGGCCGACACACCCTCTGCATAGTCACTGCATCACGCGTGTGTCCACACCTGTTTTCCCAGGCTGTCCCCCACGAGAAGGTTGGGGGGGGGGAGGGAGGGAGCCTGTTCAGAATGTAGTAAGAGCTGTGAATCCCCCCCCTCCTCCAGCCAACTGCCACTCAGAGAATATGCCCTTAATATGGTCCCGACTCCCCGCAGGGCCCCCAGTGGACGTAGGCATGCGGATCGATGTCGCCAGCATAGATATGGTCTCCGAAGTGAACATGGTGAGTGGCCTCGCGACGGGCCCGGCTGCCCGGCTTACGCAGATGTGAAATGGACAGATCCCGCGTCCTCTGCGTTTCATTGGCGGTCACCTAGCCCCTGGCCCCGGGGGTCCCACTCCGCGCGTGCTCCCCACTCCAGCACACACACCCGGTTGCCCCAGGGTTTGTATTTTCGACACACACTGGCTACTGCGGTGTTCCAGAGGAAACGTGCTCGGCACTATTTTGGGAAGGACGGGTGACTGTTGCGCCGGCAGATTGGCTGGGGCGGAGTCTGAGCTTTACTTTAGCAGGGTTTCCCGGCGAGTGGCGATGTGGAGGGCACCATCTGCTGGCGACCAGGCAGCCTGCACTAGGGCCCCCGGACCGGTGGTCCGCAAGCCTTCACCTTGCCAGGCACCATTCGCACAGCCCCATTAGACTGCTGGCCCGGACGCTTGGAGACTCCACCACCGGGCACACAGTCGTAGTTTCAGAGCGTTGCCTGCCTCCTTCAGGCTCTAGCACTACACCGTGAGGCAGGAGCAACAGGCTGAAATAACGGTCCGTGCTTCCTAATATAAGGAGTGCCCAAGCCTATTCCAATGGAGGGTTTGTACTGTTCCCATGCTGGGGTAGATGAATTTATCTTGCTGCATTTTCCAAATTTGAAACACAATGGGTCGAGTTATATTGCTTTGCTTTACTCTAGACGCCTAAGTGCAATTGTAGAAAAAGCTCCATGATTAAAGGGACTGTGGAGAGGTGGAGAGCGATGATAACAGTACAATCCCTCCATTTCAAAGGGGTCAACATTATTCATTTCTTTTTCTCTTTTCTGAAGCAGTTGCAAAATGCTTCAAATCATAGCTGCTGCTTCATTTGTTGGCTATTTGCAACCACTCTGGGTAGCAGTTTTTCTAGTTACAGTGAGTTCAGAAGGAAATGCCTGTTGCTTTTCTAGAATACACTATCCAAAGAACAGCTAGATCTATGTGAACAAAATGTCACTTTTATTCCACTGGAGAGAAAAAAAATGGCAGCAGAAATTTAGACATCCTGAATAATTTAAAGGCTAAACCTTTTAGAATTTTTATTTCTCTGTAGCTGTAATGGCCATTGGGTTATCTTTTATTTCATTCCTTGTGTCATTTTATGTTAATATACTAACATTTAAGAATTTTTCTTTTTATTTGTTGGTTATATCAGGAAGAAACAAATGTGTTTATATCCTATTGAATAGGTTTAGAATAAAAGTGTGGTTATTAAATTTCTGTATTTTATAGTTGCAACTGACTCTGCTTTATATAGTTTATTTAAAATACTATTTTAAATTGTTTCTGATTATTTAAAAAGATATTTTCAAATGTCTTTCACTGTTTGCTGGAAAAAGAAACCCAATTTTTGAAATTTATTGCACACAAGAGAATGTTTTTTGACTTGGCAAAGATTTTTAACAGATTTACTTATTAATTTTGTTTACATACATGCTAAAACTAGAAAGCAACTCAAAACACACTATTTACATATACTCAGAGAAATGTAATCATGGGTAAACATGTATAAAACTGAACGAGTTAGACAATGAGTTTAACAAGTTATGCCATTTGGAGAGATGATGATATTTTCTTTTTAAGTCACTTATCTTGGCACCTTGTAAGCATCCACATAGATAATTCATAAAATAAAATATTCAGAAAGCTAAAAAGGCAAGCATTGCCTTTGCCAGTTGTCTACCTTAGTGTACAGAGTACCATGCCTTTCAGAATTTCTAAAGATATATAATTCTCTTGGTCAGGACTCGGGGAATAGTTCAGTGCCACAGCATTTGCTGAGCATGTACAAGGTCCTGGATTCCATTCCCAGCACCTGAAAAATTTAAAAAACCAATAAATTCTGTTACTATATTTATAAACACTCTTCCTTCTTGTTATTTTTAAAAACTCTCAACTGAATTGGTAAGTTGCTGATAACCAAAAACAACCACCATAACAAAAAAGCTCTGTATTATCAGTTGTTCAACCAAATTCATAACAAGCTAAAAGATTGAATATAATTGCAGTAGCACAGGATATTTCCTTTTAATTACTGAATAACACAGTATGTTTATTCACTATACTGTTATATATGCACTTGGTTTTTAAGTATTCATTCAATAGATAAAGCTTGAAAGTATACTAAAATACCTATCACTTCTTCATAATGCTTTTAAGAGACATGATAGGAAAAATAGAAATTACCGAAAGTTAGAAAATATAAAATATTTATTTATTTATTTATTCTTCCTTGTTTCTACTTTTAATGAGAGATACCAACAGGGTCCAGGGTTTATTTTAGCCTCTCATCTATAACAAAGCATTCAAATAAATAGAATGGAAATAACTTTAAGAAAAATGGAAATGGAGAGGAATTTTTTAAAGGATTGAGTGCTCTACATAAACACAACCTGGATGGTTAGACCTCTACCACTAAGGAAGATAATTGTCTATAACATGCTTTGATTTTTAGACCATGAAAGTAGGATTAAAAGTTTGTGGGAAATAAGACTCATTGCTTTTAATTAAGATGTTTCAGAATGCCGATACATAGTAAAATTTGTAGTCCTTTAATAGGAAATTATCCCCCAAATTAAGGGAAAACAAGAATGAACAAGACTACAATAAAATAGTTTTTAAGTAAGTTAAATACATTACTCAATCATTGCCCATTTTTATTCATTATTATTATTTCCCATTCCATAACTGAGGAAATTACATAATTGTGCATTAAATTAATGGGTTTGAGAACTAGGTTCTACTAATTTTTGTCCTTTTCCTGTGCTACTCTAAGTAAAATATAACTCCAAATTGGTTTAAAGCATTCTGTCTTTTAAAGACTAACAATTTGTTTTAAACACTAACATCATAACAATAATACTTTCTGACTCATGTCCTTTAGGATATAAAATGTTTTTTTCCCAAAGTACAGAAAATAAAAAGAGACTTTGTAGCCAAGAATCTCCACATTCAAAAATCAACAACATAAATCAAAACAGCATGATATTCCATCAATATGTACATTTTTTTGTTTCTATGTATCAATTAAATAAATTTAACTTAAATAAAAAAACAATAATTACCTTAAAATCATTGATTCTGAGCAGTATATACAAAAACTTTGGAGCATTATTCTAAGGTAGAAAAAATATATACCTGAAAGCAAGACTTCTTTTCACATAATAATATTGATTAAATTAGGAAGAAGTTTTTCTCACATCCTGGTCTGCGGTGTTTGTGATATCAATTACATACCATTGTCATTTTTTAAACTATCATCTTAAAAACTACTGTGATTTCCATTTATTATTTATTAAACTCTTCAAAGCTTTTTAAACAACTTCTGGCTATGCTTCTCCCCAACCCCACCTACAACAGACTAGAGATGAACAAGAGGCAAAAGGAGACAAGAGCTCGCAGAAATTAACCTCAAAGGAACCACTAAACTATGAGCCGAGTAGAACACAGATAGTCTTAGGCAAGTTTTCTCTTTGAGTAGTGGTTTGGGGATATATGATATAGACAACATGCAAACAAACAGTTGAAATCTTGAACTTCAAATTCCAATAACTGGTTATTTCTCCTTATTCAAGAGTCAGATCCTAATCATTAAGTAGTGTTCCAACCACAGCTCTCTGTTCTTGATCTAAGGATACTGTCATCCAAGTGCTGCCGCCCAGGAGACTTTCAAAGGAGTCAGCCAAAGTTATTTACCATAAGATACAGCCATCATGTATTCATTGTTTCATTCCTTTTTTTCAACCATGGGTGGATACAACAGTGAATGCTCTTACAGGTATTATAATTAATAACAACAACAACAAGATCACTAATGCTAAAATGAGCCAATTTTAATAAATAAGGCCCAAAAGAAAGAAAAAATTAACTTATCAAATACACACTTAAATTCCACCAAGTTACTATTTATAGATTTCTATGGTTCAGTCATGTTTATTACCACCATAGTAACTCAAAACAGTAACCCCTTGTAAGAATTCTGCTACCCCACACCCTTTCCTTTAATTCAGCGCTTCTCAATATTTAATGTATACCTGCATCACTCTGAGATCTTGTTAAAATGAAAATTCTGAACCAGTGGTCTGGAGTGGGTCCTGATATTCTGCATTTCTTCTGGGTGATGTCTGTTGCTAGAGTGTGGACAGGATTTTGAGTGTCATGGTTGTGATATGTTATTCTAAGATCTAGCCTTATGAAGAAGTGAACAATTTTTTGTCTTTTAAATTTTTCTAGGAATGGTTTTATGTCAAGGTTTCAACTTCACTTTGAAGTTCCAGTTAGTTAAACAGGTGTCTATGATCAAAAGGAAAAATTAGTTCAATAATTAGTGATTAACAACAAAGGCAAGAGCATGGATGATAGGGTTTGAGTTAAAGTAATACACAGTCTTCATCTCTGTGTTGCTACTGCAAATCAGCCAAATGTAAACGAGGACTATGAAAATAGTGCCAAGCACAGTTACCCCAATAGCACTGTCCTTTTGCTTTACAGAACACCAATGTCTTCAGAATAAAGAACATTGAAAGTTTCCCCCCACCACCACCAAGGAGCTAGCAATAGCTTTGTAAAATAGTTTAACCATACTCCTGCTTCTGTTAGTAAATTCTCTAGGACTCTAATAGAATTTTCTTTGTGAACAGAGCAGATAGGTCAGTACCATTTAACGGCAAGAACAGGTACAAGTCTTTCACTAAAGATATATGTGATTAATCAACCAGGTCTTTCTGTTAGGTGCTGGGTGAGAATATTATACCTTCTAAGGGGAAGCTCTTCCCTTTGACTATGTGGGGATAACAGATATGTTTTACATCTTAAAACACATTAAATGAAACATATCTAGATTTTAAAATATTTGATTTTACATTTGAAAACCTGTGATTTTAGGGTTACTGGACCAGACTGGGTATTAAAGTCTGTAACATAATGAAAATAAGTAGTATCATTTATGGAACATTTCACATATGTGAA